TTAATTCCCCAATTAACATACCTGCGCTGTCCCAAATCTTGTCCCTTTTCATTTGGGGGTCCTCTCGTAGAAGTTCTAGATTTCCTTATTAATGTAATAGGTTCTTTCCTTTTGTTTTCTTCTCTGCCCTAATCTAGTGGTTCTCAAGCTTGGATTTGCATCCGTGTAAAATCAACTGTTGAACTTAAAATTCAGATCCGTGGTCCTCCTGCTGCAATTCTGATTCAGTAGATCTGAGGTGGAGTTTAGACGTGTATTTTTAAAAACCTCCACAGGTGATTCTTACACATAATCAAAGTTGAGAATTTCTACCCTAGATGCATTTACATTGTTGGGCTTAGAAGGAAACCCAGGATTCGGGGAGAAGCTAGAGATTCCTTGGTCCGTTAGAGTTTAGGATTTAGTGTAATGGGGGCTCTATCCTCTCCCTGATTCCCAACCTTTGTTGGTAGATATAGCCACTTAAAAACACAATGAGAGCCTGAATGGTATAGAATCTAGTAATTCTCTTCTCCCCACTGCTTCCTTTTTGGTGAAATATTGGAAGTGAAAGGGTTGGAATGTATTCTTTGAGTATACAATTGGAAAACCCACTTTGTGAAATGGTAAGCTTGGACTACTGTTTAATACCTTCATAAATAATAGTCTTTGAATGCATAATACTTTTGATTTACAGAATTGAACAAATAATAGTTAAACTCTTGAACTTTATGCTTCAAGTTGAATAATAGATTTAACCAGAAAAAATGATACTTTGAAGATTATTGTTTTTGTTCTATGCTGAGTGAGCAAAACAGGAATTGACAAAAATTTGAGTTTCTTAAAAAAACAAAAATCAAAAAACCTTTAAATCTCTCTCTTTCTTTCTAGTTCTTTTTGGAGGTGGATATCTGCTCAGACAGTAAGAATTATAAGAGGTCAGTTACAAATAATGCTCCTTCATGTTTACAATGTGATAATAATTTTGCTCATGTGCTAAAATATTAAATGTAGGCTTTTATGTTGAAAGTTCCCTTCCACAGAAGCATATAGGCAGATTTAGGGTGGATAACCTGAAATGAACAAGGAGTCTGACAATGTTAGTGTTCCATTACCTTTTCTCCTTAATTCAGGACTAGAATCAATGGAAATGGGACAGGCTGTGGAGTAGCTTCTAGAGTGTCTGGACAGCTAGCTACTCAGTAATTTTCCATACATGACCTCTCTTTTCTGGTGCTTTGTAGGCTTGTGCCTGCCAATACTATTCAGTGTAGTTGCTGGTTGCTGGACAGGCTGTTTAGCTGTTAATGCTAAGCTGCTTCCTTTCCAATCTATGTAACCCTTTAGAAAAGGACACCTTCACGTTCTT